GTAGCAGTAGCAGTAGCAGTAGCAGTAGCAGTAGCAGTAGCAGTAGTAGTAGTAGTAGTAGTAGTAGTAGCAGGAGTAGTACTAGTAGTAGTAGTAGTAGTAGTAGTAGTAGTAGTAGTAGTAATAGTAGTAGCAAAGTACTAGTATAGTAGTAGTTGTAGCAGTGGTAGCAGCAGTAGTAGTAGTACTAGTAGTAGTAGTAGTAGTAGTTGTTGTTGTTGTGGTTAGTAGTAGTAGTAGTAGTAGTAGTAGCAGAAGTAGTAGTAGTAGTAGTAGTAGTAGTAGTAGCAGCAGCAGCAATGGCAATGACGACGACAGCAAAAGTCCGCCTTCGACGACGACGACGACCACCACCACCACGCACGATTACTTCTTCTTTCCCCGCCTTGAGCCAGCTAACCATGAACCGCCAGAGCTAAACACCCCAAAGAGTTGCCTGACAAGTCTGACATGCCGAACGTCTTCGTCGGAAGCGTCGGTAGCTGCGGAATGGCTTCCCAGACCTTAATCCAAACACTTAATCAGTGATACTTTAGCAGCTCAAAGCACGCAAAGCAGCTCCTCCGAGCCCTGAATCGTGCAAAGAGTCTTGGAGCTTCGAAGCTTCACAACTTTGGCATGCAACGACTTGAATCATTCTCGAATCCTAGAAGGCCCGTGCATGCTAGCATCCTGTTTGCTGCTTGCATTGATGCTGGTGCCCAGATGACCTCCTTCAAGAGCTCCCTGGCTGTATCCGGCCACTCCAGCATCAGCACATCCAGGTGAGCAGCATGGTAGTGAAGTCCTTGCCGCACAGGCTCAGCAAACCAAGCAGCGTCCGTGAGCCTGTAAGCGAAGAACTTCGTTTTTTGGAGAACGGCTGTTCAAGAGCAAAGCACGCGACGGTCGGGGTCCTTTCAGGAAGGGCTGCAACAGCATGGGGGTGTTCTCGTACTGGTCACGCTTGCCGATCTCCAGGAAATGGCCACACGGCCGTAACCTCTAACAATATTTCTGTTGAGTTGATCGGCTTTGGGTCCTGGAACTGTTCTATACACCTGGCAGCTGGTGCTTGCAGACGGCTCGAGATCGGCATGGTTTCAACACACAGATTATTTCTGACAGATTGCAAATACACTCGCATCAATCACAAATCTAACATGACAGTGCTCCTAGTTTTAGACCTTCCGACAATCGCTTGCAACTTTCGGCCGTACACACCAGCTCATCAGCTCCAGACAAGGCACAGTCTCAGTGATGCCGGGATGGCCTCCATGACTTCGGAGGCACGAGCTTTGTGCTATTTTGCTGCTGTTGCTACGAACCTTCAATGATACAGCATACAGAATACAGATCCCGAAGTCAAGCATCGAATACATCTCCTCACCTGTGCAATCGCCCTAATCGACGTCGCTAGCCTAGCTTCATCCTCTCTGCTCATGTCATGTTTCCGCGCTCGCTCTTTTCCTCTTTTCGGGGTAGCTGTGCCTCAACAAGGACTTCATCTGCCGTTTTCTCGGAGTTCGTTCCGGCTGCTCGAATTCTAAATGCAATCTTCCAACCTTGCTACCTGGATGAAGATGTGGGGTTGCCATCTCTCCGAATGACGGTGACTCAACCCAAACCTGATGCACGCTGGCCTCGCCGCTTAGCGAGTTCAGGACAACATCAACACCCTGGCCGCCGGCCGTTGCCTGCATGTGTACTCTTCCCACGCTTGAGACGCACAGCACCCATCAAGGCATGTCGGCGCTCCTTGCGGATGCCCTGCTCGAACTCGATCGGATCCCTGGAGTTGAAGACCGCCACAGCGCCCAACTCCAAGAGTACTTTGCCTTGCCGTGCCGTGCGCGGGTGCAGGGGCATCTCGTGAAGACTGCAAGGGCCAGATACAGGTTGGGGCGTTGAGGCTAGATGTACCAGATTTGAATTGCTCTTGTAGTATGACATGATCAAAATCAATGAAGCTACACAAGTTCACGGTCATGCTAACGCGAGGATGGGAATAACAAAAGGTGTCACAACTAAAGAAAATAAATCCGGCCCGGGTTGGGTCTGGAAGACTTCTTTCAATTGCGGCTGGATTTCGTCTCGCGAAGAGGTACCACATTTGAAGAAATTATTTCGGGGGATAAAGAAATTGGGAGCTGCAGTTTGCCTCCAATATCCCTTTTCTGCATCCGGAGCGACCTGCCGATCTCCAGTCTGCAGAAGCAGAAGCCATTGCACTGCACTTTTGTGAGACGAATATATGCATCTATCCCAGAAAAAAGCCGATTGAACAAAATCAATCGCTATTGATATCAATAGAAACAACCACATCAAAATCAATAGAGAATCTCCATAAAAACCAATAAAAACTTTCCATAAAATCAACAGAAATTTTCCATAAAGTCAATAGAAACACCACGTTTGAAATCAATAGATTTCAGCCTTCAGCGAAACCTCGAAATAGATGTGCATATTTGACCAGGAAGCCTCATAGTCAAGCTTTCGGCAGGATTTCAGACGCAGAACTGCCAATGACCTGTGACTAGGCATGCCTCTCCACTCCAGGAGAGACTTGGCCTCTGTGAATCCAGGCGTTTGATTCTCCATGCCAGATCACACAAACCTCAGACTAGCGCACAGTGTGACCTCGCGTGGTAAAGACAACTGGCGGGACGCCAGTCACCTTTACCTCGCCAGATCACACCTGTGTCATAAATCCAGCGGTGAATCCATGGTCAGACCCAGCATTCTTGACAACCACATCGGTCCTTCGACATAGTGCGCAGGATTGCGCACAATGTCCACGGATCAGCAAAGACGCCAAGGTGAAGGACATCAGCAGAGAAGCCAAGACATCGAAGCATTGCAACAGTATCATTGGAACTTGTGGCTCACTGCCGGCAGAAAGATGGCAAGAACGCGGGGCCGAGCAAGACCGCACTTGTGTAAGGTGCCGACCACAGACATTGGCTTGCCCAGGACATACATCTTGAAGTGGCAATTCAGGCATCAGACAGGTGCGTGCGCATCGGCAGCAAGACGGGCTCCTGCGGGAAACTGGCTTAGTTAGGCTTAGTTTCACAATTGCGAACATGAACATCACTGCTCTCCGTGACTTGAACCACAACTTGAAGCTGCCGTTCAGACATCTGTTTGAACTCAACGGACCTTGTTGGACATTCGTTCGCAGTCGGCGCGCTTCAGGCTAAGCCCTACAAGAAAGAATCATGGACATCCGCCAGTAGGTCGCCCAGAGGCGGCACGGTGCAGTCGCATTCGTCCGCTCCCGCCAGGGGCAACTCCAGCAGCGAGTAAGCCAGCGTGCGTTGTGCCACCACGGCCAGCATGCCCATCCATCGGTGCGTGGAGGCACGCTGCACGGCCGGGCGAAGCCGCGTTGGCGACTCGCGGGCACGAGCCTTGGCCAGTTGCGGCAGGAAGGCATCTGGTTGTCAGAGAGCAATGCACCTGGATGAGTCAGCCAGGCCCACTGCTCCTGACAGCCAGGTGTCTGAACGAAGCCAAGAGAAGGTGAAGTCAGGCCTCTCAGGGAAATCATAAGCAACGGTATGCAAAACAGGTGCCCATTTGCAACCCAATAACAGCCTCCAGTCAAGGAAACCATTGTTGAGGTCGCGGTAGCGATAACCCTTTTCAGGGCAATCTTGCTGTTGTTCAATCAAGTTAGGCAAGTACCTCCACAGGAAAATATACACAATGACAACGTGACGTCAGACATTTGCAACCTAATAACAGCCAGCCTCAAATACCCAATCAGTCGATATGTCCCGGTACCAAGTCCTTCTGGCTGCACGGTAGTGGAAATTGCCACCACATTAGAAGGCCTCGTCACAGGGTGTGTGAGCGATGGTCAGTCTTGCCGACATGCGTTACACACCATTTGCTCCCTCCTCTCAATCGCCTTCCGGACGTTTCAAGGGTCTTCTTTAGTGCTGGGGTTGGGGTTGGTTGGCAACACCTCTTCACAGATGGTTCTTGCAGTTCTTGCACCGATCCCGGCTGTTCCGAGTTGACTTTAGCCGCTTGGGGTGCGATCCATGGCATTGCTCACAGAGGCCAGTTTGAGTCAAATCAAACTTGGCTTGCTGCTGGCCAAAGATGAAGGCTCCGGCTCGAAGCGAGGCCAGTCGGACCGTATCAAGCGGCGTCCGAGAGCCAGCATCGACGTGAAGCGAAGACGGCTCGACGCCGACCAAATCCTGCATGGTGTCCCGATGCCGGTGTTCGCGGGCCACGTAACAAAGCCAGCCCTGTTCCAGCGATTTCGAAGCAGGGTTTGGGGGCCCGCCAGCAAGCTGTGTACTGCAGTCCGGAGCTTAGTAAAGGGTCCGGGGAGTGGACGGCCATCGAAACACGTCATAAAGCTTCGCCACAGGCACACAAAACCATGGATCTTTTTTGGGCCATGCGACGGATGTCGCAGACACAATTGCGACTAGGGGCGAGCGAGCCAGAGCTGGTGGTGCATGGCAGGCTGCTGACGCGACAGCGGGGCTCGGATCACACTTGGCTACACCTTTTTACGAGAGGCGATCGAGACCATGGTGGAGGAGCCCGGGACTGTGAGGAGATCGTCGGAACAGCTGTGGCGGATCCAAGTCTGAAGGAAGGGTCATGGTTTTCCTCTTCGGGGCGACTCAGCGCTCGTGGCGCCGGGCCTTGTGGCGATGTGATCTTGCTTTGCTTTTTCGATGAGTTGCTACGGCTGCAATGGCTTTGCGCTCTCTGGGTGTTAGGCTGAGGGCCACGTTGGAGTGGGATCCACGTGCCCTGGCAGTCTTATCTCAGGCGTGCTGCCTGAGGGTGAAGCGATGCGATGTTACGGCGGATGATCCAGCGGCGGCCACGATCCTCCGTGACCTGCTGAAGGAATAACTCCATAATCTTGGTTCCGGCCGAAGACCCGTGTCCGGATTACTCTCGACTGAATGCGTCGGCCCAAGGACGTGCTGGCTACTCTGGTCAGCTCTTTGTGCAGTTGACAGAGTTCCTGAGCTCGAGGAGCGCACACAAATGAAGATGAAGTTCTGCCTCCTCGTGGAGAATGTGCGGTTGCAGAAGTCCACAGCCCTTGAGTGGTTCAGCAGGGCAGTGGATGCCAAGCCGTTTGCGGCGGATGCGGCCAACTTCGGGATGATCACTCGTCCAAGAACATGGTGGTCGAGGATCGATTGGACCAGGACCACACAGAATCCGTACCGGCCCGACCGCTCTTTGAAGTGGGATAAACTGGAAGGCCTCTCGAGGCTGCAGCTGGGTGTCAACCACGATGGTCCGGCAACCTTTTCGATGCGTGGGCTGCACTTTGATGATGGGGTGGCGCATCGCAAGAGGACACTACCCTGCTTGACGACTCCAGCTCCCATGGCGAGGGCCGACCGCCGCCCAAGCGCACGAAAGGCAAGATGTCGGCTAGTGTGAAGCAACGTTGGCTTGAAACCGCCATCGCGAGACCTGGAATTACGAGGAGCTTGAGCCTGGGGGGCAGGGGCAAATTCTTCCTGCAGAGCTCAAGGAACAACTGCATCACCGGGCAGGCTTCACACGTCACAAGCAGGTCCAGCCACGAGATCGACGTCGGCTCCTCGGGAACTTTTGGCATCTTGGTGACTCGGTGTGGCCCGATTTCTCCTTGCGTTGGTGCTGCTGAACGGCATCACAGGGCCAAGGACTGCGGCAGCAGAGGACCTTGACTCCATCATGTAACAGGCCAAGGCTCGTGAGATCCCAGTGGCGGCTCACATCCAAAGTGTCCGGGATTGGCTATTAGGCCGGCCCTAGACGTGTGAGAACAGTGGAAGAACAGCATGGGCATCAGTCATCTGCTGCTGGACCCTCCCGAATTGCAAGAATGTCCGGGATTGGCTGCAAAAAGGTCGGCCACCCTGTCAGATCCCTGCGGGCACAGATGCAACAAGAAACTGGAGTGTTCTTCCGAAACATGTGGCCAGTGCGCACACTCACGACAGTGACAAGATTGTTCAGACTCCCATGCTCATGCATTTACTCCGACGCTGTGGCTACCCCGATTGCGACAACCTGGAGAAGGACTTGTGCTCTGGCTTCCCACGTTTAGGCGAGCTCTCACGCTCTCCCGGCTGGCACCCGAGAACTGATGACTGGTACGAGCGTCCAGTTTCTGAAAGAGTCGTTGCAGAGCTGAATCGGCAACACATACGGCCCCGCGTGTCCAGGGTTCGTCCGGGCCCCGAGTGGCAGGCTATGCTACAAAAAGTTTTGCAGGAGCGAGACAAAGGCCTCATCGCTCATCCTGATTGGGATTTCAGAGCCGTGGGCATTGATAGCGAGGGCGACGGTTCCCAGCCTCCCAGCTTTTGGCTGTGGCGTCGGGGGATGCTTTTACGTGAGGACTACCGTGCGGGATCGTGCGAGCATACGACAAGCCCCCGCACTATACCGTGGATACCTATGTGCGGGTCATTCGAGCTTGGTCTGCGCTGCGTGAGGACGCCCAGGTTTGGTGCCAGGACATGCTGATCAAGCGCATATCGACGGTACCTGTGCGAGAGACAGCTTATGCGTACATGTTGTTGCAGTTGCCTCATGGGGTGTCAGTTTGGCGACACAAAGTTTTGCCTTTCGGCAGTGCTCCTTCTGTTTAGCATCTTAATCGATGCGCGGACGCAGTTGTCTGGTTGGCTAGAACCGAATGCCAAGTACGCCCGAGAAACTACGTGACAAGTGCCATTTTTTGATTGCAAACATACAAAAGATGCACCAAGCTCAAGCAGTCTGGCCTCTACCGCACCAAAAACACAAGGAAATTCTTCTTCCCAACCCTGTAACAGTTGCTGCCAAAACC